GAGTGGGGGCAGAGCGGAGGAAAGATTGGGAGGATGCAGGAGACAAGACAGAAGCGTTGACGGTGACTGAGCCAGAAGCCGCTCAGAAGGGTAGGAGGAGAATCCTGAAGCAGGGGCTCCGGTCCAGGTCGGGGATGCTCCAAATGTTTCCAGACAGTAAGTAATTTTAAAGCCTGAACCTACCTCTCCACAAGGTCCAAGCCAAATGGCACCATTGCTGCCATGTGGTAGAGGACTTTCTCTTGGTCACACACATAGTGGGGTCCGTTAAGATTGGCACTCAGCTCCTGGTAACAGATGCCGTTTGGCTTGGGTCCACAATGCAGCAGCCCGCCAATCAAACATGGATGGATGGACGGAATTGGGCAACTCAGCCCACCAAGATCTGTTGACAGAGCAACGTTGGCGTTTTGAAGATTAAGTTGTGCCTGGCTAGCACATGCTGTTTCCAGCCCCTCAAGGGCGGGTGCGAGATGGATGATGGATAAGAAGGATCTTGCAGGAGAACGGATGCATCGGAGTTAACGGTGCCAGCAGGGGACACTGACAGCACCGCGGCGGCCAGAGAACAAACCCATCCGGCCCAGCTGAAGTACAGCCAAAGGGCTCCCGAGACGCCCGGAGGGCGAGTCTTGGTCTCACGTCCTCTGGACGTGTGAGAGGAGGGACCGACCCCCAGAGAAGGACATCCTGCTTGGCAAAGCAGAGGGGCAGGGACAGATGGACCCGTCAGCCAGGTGGACTCCAACACAGGAAGCGTGGTGAGCATGCGCAGGACCGGGCGGTGCTTGGTTCTGTGTGTGTTAGGTTGCTGTGGTCACAGCCGACTGCCGGCAGCTCCTGACCACCACAACACTGGTGGCAGAGCCCCCTGCCACGGCCACAGCGGGATTTGCTCTTCTCTCGCATCCAAGCACTCCGGAGGGAAGCCACCTGGGGCTGGTGGAGTAGCAGCATCTCATCCCCAGGGACCAGGCTTGCTCTCCATCTCTGTCAGCCTCACGGTCTGACCTGCATCTACATACACTCTAGACGGCTGCCTGGCTCCAGCCATCCAGTGTACACTCCAGGTAGGAGGAAGGGGAGGGTCAGAGGACATTGCTTTCTTAAATACCCGGGGGATAGGGAGTGCCCCTCCCCTCCTTTCTCTTACTTCTTAGGGGCTCGAACTTGTCCCCAGGTCCACTCTGAGTTATAGCTAGGCAGACAGGGGAAGATGATTTGAGTTCTTCCTCCAGTAGGCACAGCTTCGTGTGGAAAGGACAAGGGCACAGGTGGGAGACATGAGACTCACGACCACTTTCTACACTGTAAAGGTCTTCCTCACAGTTGTTCTGGGGGAGAAGCGAATGGTCAGGTGGCCATTTCTACATGGGAGAGCTGAGGGTCAGAGACAAAGGTACTTGATCATGGTCACACCGCTAAGTGCGATACCGAGTCCGACTTCCACTCTGTCCCTGTTAACCAAGGTAGCACTTCCTTCTCCCCCCCCCCACCCCGCCCCCAGTGGCTGCCCAGAGGCAAACTGGCTCTCCCTCGGGCAGTGCGGGGGATGGGGCGCTGAGCTGCACTGGCTCAGCCGTTGGCCATCATCTCCTGAGCCTCTAGGCAGGCCTCCCGGCAGCATCCCTGTGTTTTGAGGGGGTAATACAGAAGAACCCCCAAATATTCTCCCACCTGTCCTAATCAAAGGTTTGCAGGGCTGATGGCATCTGCGTGATGAGGTCAGTATCATCATCGTGAACTGCTTTTATAAGCGGGGAAACTGAGGCATGGACAGGCACCCAGGGCAGGCAGCCCTGTTCCTCACCTCTCTGCGGGCCTGTGTGATAGGTAGGCTCGTGCCAATATGGCCAATGAACACACGTGGGATTACTTGAAGGGCCGAGAGATAAATGGCTCGGCGAGCCTCGCCTCTTCCTCTCTTGCTCTTTGATCATCGGACCAGTGTGCAGCGGCTGCCTTGCTTGTTCTGTGCCTCCATTTGCAACCTACACTACCCATGGGACACCTAACCCATAGATTGTCACTGTAACTTGAGGTTCCTTCAAGACCTGCTTTGCCACACTACTGGAATATACGTCTTTTGAAGTGGGGACTGTGGGACCCTGTCGTCTGGCTGACTGCTGGTGACCTGCCTTGCTGTTTGCTGCCTGTGGCCAGACTGCCTGCATTGCTCTACAGAGGACTCAGCTGTCTGCTTCCTTGACTTGCACCCAGTGGCCCTCAAGACTTGAAGGACTGCCAGTGTATTAGCTGTCTCACAGAAGTGAGTTGCACCGAGCCATCTGTACTGCTTTATAGATTATTTATTTCCCATGTTATCCATCTATCTAAATATAAAATTATTAGTGTCCTGGTTTTGTTTCTCTAGAGAACCTTGTCTGACACAGCGGGTCTCCCAGGTGGGGACTGAAGCATGCTGAGTCAGGGCCAGCGTGACGACACCTCACAACAGACGGTGACGAGTCTGGCATCATCAGACGTCACACAGAGACTCCACGCCCACACGGTCCCCATTCCGGGGGCTCAAAGAAGGGGAGGGCATGGAGGCAGAGGCTTCCTCTCGGGCCAGAGAAACGTTTGCCGTGAGCGTCACAGCCCAAGGCTGGCCAGGCACTCAGAGGATAGGCCTGGCAGCTGGGCAGTGGGTGGGATTTTAGAGGCGTGCTAAGGTCGCCTCCTACCTGGAAGAATGCAGCCAGAAGTGCCGGGGAAGGAAGTGCTGGAGATGGGGGAGGATGGCAGCAGAGACAGCGGCACACGGGTCACGCGCATCACACCTGGGTCACCAGAGGCAGGAGCCCCGTGACAGCAGCTGGCTTGTTTCTGTGTTTGGTCCCCCAGCTGTGGTAGATTTCTCGTGAGACACGGGGTACCTGAGTGGGATGGGAAAGTAGGAGTGGAGGTGAGGGGTGAGGTGTTGTGGGCCTGATGCCCTTAATCTGTCAATGAAGAAAGGAAGAGGGGCGGTCCGTGTGAAGGTGGTCCTGTTGCAGGTTGAGACCGAGGTGCCTGGGTGGCACTGAAGCAAACAGGTGAGGCCCTGACGGTCCCCACCCCAGCTGTCACCTCAAAGACAGCCACGCCCACATCTCAATCAGCACCCCCTCTCAGCCTTTTCCCATGCAGCAGGTGTGGACCGGCATAAAGGACCACCAGCCATCACCTGGCAAACCCTCCCAGCCCCTGCGTGTGAAGACAGGGCAGGCCAGCCAGCGTGGTTCTGTGTGGAGGGCGGGCAGAGCATTCTGGGAGAAGCCTCGCCCCTGGGGACAAAGGCCTTTCCAGAGGCAGAGGGCGGGCCGAGGGGCCAAGATGTGGGGCTTCTGACCCAGTGGACCCCAGCGGAGACCAAGACCCCAGTTCCTCCAGGTTCCCTGGAGACCCCATTGTCAGACCCCATTCTCTAGAAACCCTTGGTCATCAGACCCCACTGTCCTGCCATCCGCTGTCGCCGGCTAGCCCAGCACAAAAGATCCAGGGAAGAGCCCTGTCCCCATCCCAGGCTGGATGTGGTGGCCAGAAACCCGGAAGGCCCAGGTAAGTGCTCCAAACACACACCCCCCACCACCAGGGTCAGGGTGTCAGTAAACAGAGACCCCAGGTATTTGTTTACGGAGCACCAGGGGGGTCTGTGGAGCTTGATTTTGTGGTTTTCTGTAGCACTTGAAGCGGGAGACTTTGGAGGGGCTGAAGGAAGAGGAAAAGGTGACCTCCCGGGGCGTGGGGTCACGGTGAGGAGGGAGGAGAGCAAGTGAGAGAAGGGATGCCAGTTTCCCCTGGAAATGCCCCACCCCACAGACCACTCCCCTAAGCTTGCAACGTGTTTATGAGGCTGCGGGGTGGGGTGGGGGGCCGTGACCAACGCAAACCAGTGGGGGGGGGTGGGGGGGGTTGGGGGGGACTGGGTGAGAGCAGAGCTTCTTGGTGCTGCTGCTGGACCGCGAGGAAGGCTCAGGTGTGAGACCGGAAGGAGAGGCGCGCAGGGCAGCGCAGGTGTCCCGGAATAGCCTGGAAGCAGGAAGGCCAGGCCAGCAGGGATCCTCCCCCCACCCCCACCCCGGTCTCTCCCACCCGGCTGCCTTCATTCCCTGTCACGCTCCACGACTTCTTTCACCTGGTGGGACAGGGCGGCCCACAGCTCCCGACCCTCCCAGGCCGGCTCCCTCCATGTGACAGACATTGGCTACTCCGGGTCTTTCGAAGCCATGTGGTCAAGCCTTAACCCTCCCCCACCCCACCCCCCAGACCTGT